TATATATATATATATATATATTTATCTATTTATATATATATATATATATATGATCTGTCGGTAAAGTGAACGCGGTGGACGAAAGGTGGTTAACTTTCCAGCTCGAGAACGAAAAATATGCGTGATGAAGATATTTCGTACGTGTGTGTGTATGTAAATGTATATATATATATTGCATTTATCTTTGGTATATAGGTAAAAAGGAACGAACGGTTTCATAGTTTTCTAGAAAAAAAAAATAATAATAGTAATAATAATAATAATAATAACAACAATAATAATAATAGTAATAATAATAATAATAATAATAATAACAATACTCTGCTATAGATCGGCTAATGAAAAAATACGGGCTACATACTGAACTCGAGAAAGAGAGACAGAGAGAAAAAGAGGGAGAGAAAAACGGTATAATCTCACAGCAAACACGATTCTCGTTTGCACACACGTTTCAGAAATACACTCATCGGAGCGTTCCTAAACATTCCAGCTAATCGGAGGAGCTCGATCGATAGACAATCGTGTATATATGTAACATATGTGGTCGTCTCTAGAAATTCGCGCGACGGATTAATTACGGAGAGAACGGAATAAATATAATATATTCGTGAAAAATGCGACGTGATTCGTGAATCAATCATTTCGGCTAAAGCTAAAAACTTTCCCAAGTTTATATACTTCGCCATGGATTCTTCTTGTCTATCATCTTTCTTTTCTTTTCTTTTCTTTTCTTTTTTTTTTTTTCTTTTTTCTCTTTCCGATCGTTTATACTTCTTCTGTCTCTCGTGCTTGTCCCACGAACACGAACGAACGACAGAGGAAACAAGATCGAGGGATACGGTAACGACGGGAACGGAAGAAGCAACGGCTTACCTGACTCCTCAGTTTGGTGATATTCTGGCCACCCTTGCCGATTATCGAACCGGCTACCTGTAATCCAAAATTTTCAGATTTTTCAGATTCGAAGTACACGGAGAAAGTGTCGATAAATAAACGATTCTTTTCTTCCGAAACGAGATTCGAATTGGCCAAGATTTCGCGTGTTCTTCGTGTTGGGGAGCCACATCCCACAAGCGCGGATCGAATGCATTCTCTAAAAAATATACTTGCGCATAATTCCAGATATCCTTTGTTCAATTTTTTTTTCAACGATAAACGAAAATTAAGAAATTAAGAAAAGAGACTCTCGAAACTAGCCACCACTTTCAAAGAACAAATCACGAATCGGATAATGGTTTCGTGGCAGAACGAAATAAAATTAAAATACGCGATCTTAAAATAATATAATCGTGACTCAAGTTCCCGGCCTCGACCCACAGCCATGGGGGATGTGTTAACTCGCGCTCCAATTTTTCGTGAGAAACGGGCCTCGAATCGAGCAAGGCCGTTTCGATCTCCTTTTCTTTCGAGCTGGTTGGCCACGTTCCACGCGATAAGTCGCCGATCACCAGGCGAGGCGAGAGGAGACGGCGGAAAAAACGCGTTTTCCCTTTGCCGCGATCGCGAACGAGATTACGCTAGGTGGAAGGAAAGAAAGGAGCCTGGCCCATCCGTCGATCGACCCTGACACCGACGCTTCCAGCAATCGACATTGTGCTCGATCGTTGGCGCGCGACCACCGCGATCTCCCTCTCTCTCGGCCAATGGGGGGATAAAAATCGAAGGCATCGCGAAATCGAAGGAAATACACGCATCCAGCCGAGGAGGAGCGCCCTCCGCCTTTGTGTCCCGATCGATTCCACCTTTCCACTCGCGATGCAATCTCGTTTTATTAAGACGCGAACGAATGAATTTCGATATGGGTAGTGGCACGTGGTCCTTTTTCTTTTCTTTTTTCTCCTTTTCTCTTCTTTTATACGCGCGGTATTATGCGTGGCTCTCTCTCAATTCTCGAGCACGATTTTTCCTATTCTTCTTCTTCTTCTTAAGAAGAATCTTAAGAAGAAGAAAATGAAGAGATCGTTCTGATATTTTTTTACATTAATAAAACTTCAAACTCGAGTAGAGATAACAAAATCGGAACCGACACTTTCCAAATAATTAGATAATAATTTCTTGGAATAATCTTTTGGAAAGAAGGAAAGAAAAAATATTCTTTACTCGTCGAATCCATCCAATTCGTGGCAAGAATTGGAATCGGGTTTCGAAAATTCCGCCGGGCGGAAGAAAGCGGAAGAAAATTGGTTCGCCGAGCACGGCGACAATGACCGGAAGAGCATCGTGTTCCGCGATCGCGAACGTTCCGCCACGAAACGAGGAGAAGGAATTATGACAACCCGGCTTCTGCTCGACCAGCTTGGAGTGCGCGCCATGGCGTGGAAAAGAAAAAAAGATCACGGAAAATCGTTGTGCGGCACGCGTGAGAAAGAGAACGTACAAGGAGAGAGGTTTTTGACAAACCTTATCCGGTCGAGGGAAACACGGTTGGAAAGATTCTTGCGTAATCTCGTTTGGAAATTTAACAACGAGAGAGGAACATTCGGAAAGGAAATTGCGCACGCCTTCGTCTCTCGTCTACGAAAGGTGAAACTATACAAGTTTCTTTTTACGCTCTCCTTTTGTTGCGCTTTAAAACCGTTGCCACCGAGTTTTCCAAACAAGATTTGAAACTTGCTCCTTTACAAGAGATCTTTCCTATCGAACGGTAAAGAGCTTAAGGAAAGAGAGTTTATACGGAGAAATATGCGGTTGTATTTGATGAATGATCGAGAGCGGTAGCTACTTTACTCGAGATCGTTTTGAGAACGTTTGCTCAGTTTCGTCGAAACGAGCGAAACGGAAGCGGAGAATAGAAAGTAAGGAAACGTGGAAGGATATTCTCTACTCGCAGTAATGTGTTTCGTCGAGGACGAATTTAAAAGTTACCGGAAACATTTTCTCGAAAATTAAAGAATACATTCGATAGTTTCTAGATAGCATAGGATTTATATAATCATTCCTTTCGATTCGCGGATGCTTGAATCGTTGAATTTCTTAAAAGAACCGGGGATCGATCGACTCCAACTTTGCGAAACTGGTTTCGCAAGATGGGACTCGTAGAATAGGTGATAAAATCTTACCTTGCTGGGGATCAGAAGACGAAGTTCATCGTCACCCTGTCTGTAACGCTTGTGAGGACTTGTCGGTCCTCCAGAACCTGTCATAGCGCCTGCATCAGCTTCTCTCTTCATTATTTCTGCAACAGAAAACATTAATCCATTCTTCAATCGATTATCCATTATTATTATTATTATTATTATTATT